CAGGTGTCAAGCAGGTGGCCAAGATGGGTGTTGGGCATTATCAGCAGGTAGCCAAGATAGGTGTTAGCATTGGTGTTATCAGGTGGCAAGATGGGCGCTATCAGGTGGCAAGAGGTGTTAAGGTGGTGGCCGTTGAATGTGTTAAAAAAAATAACATAAACGGTTTTTAAAAATGTTTTTTTTTTATTCCGACTATAAAAAATAATAGGTTTAAAATATGTTAAATAAAAAGTAAAAAAAAATAAATTTATTTTTAATCATTTCATGTGCTTATTTTTTAAAAAAAAATGGTTCGAGACAAAGATTCCGTTCGACATTCTGTAGAATATATAAGAAAACAAGAGGAAAACAAAAGATACGCAGACGACCTAGTCCGTCTTTTGAAACAAAACAGCTCAGACGCGCAACAACATAACTCAGTAACAACTTTAAAATTCTTTTAATTTAATTTAAAAAATTACCAAACTTATTCATTATATACTTCCACTGTAGTGACAACTTTGAGGTTTTTCAGGTTCTGGTTTATACAGTATTATACCTTTAAGTTCCCTTCGTCAATACCCACTTGAATACTCGGAACTTCGTATTTACTTCTGCTCATAATTTATTTTCACTTAAACATTTTTTATTTTATATACCATTATAATTTATATTTTTTTTAATTTTTTCAAAAAAATATAAATTATTGCCCCATGATAACGCCCATCTTGCCACCTGATAACACCAATACCAACACCTATCTTGACTACCTGCTGATAATGCCCAACACCCATCTTGGCCACCTGCTTAACACCTCTTGACACCTGATAACACCGCCCTCTTGACACCTACCTGTACTTTTTAATTTTTTTATATTTTATTCCCCCCCTCCCCTGCTACTTTTTAATTTTTATATTTTTTACTCCCCCCCTTTTTTCTTAGTATTTTTCAAGAGAACCATTTCTCTTCTTATTTTTTTATATTCTCATTTTTTAGGACTATACCCCTATCATCTTAGGAAAGAGGCAAATAAGACTTGGAATGGGTTTGTGTTAGCTTAAAATACTAAAACTTTTTGCAAGTCATCCTTATTTGGTACCAGTATTGACATAATAGAATTTTGAGTGACATATTCAAAATTCTATTATGTTTTATTAAGTCTTAGATACCTATGAAATGCAAACAAAAAAAATTACTGGGTACTCACCTAAAATATGTGATTTTTTCCCAGTAAAAAAAGTTATATTTTCATTTTTGGTATAAAGAATAGTCAGAATAGTAGAATAAAGAGTCTTCGGATAATACACAAAAAAATTTATGTTGATGTGTTGCAAGGTCTTAGAGCATGTTCCTATGTATGTCTTTTGTGATTAACTTAACCTTTATTTAACCTCAATTGTCCAATAATCTAATTAGTACATGCTTTTTCAAGCCCATTTTCTAAATAATTGGTCCTTAATGTTATAAAAAAAAGTTATTTAAAATTGGTAAACCTGCACACTCACGCTGAACCAGATTTTAATTTGATGAAATGACATAGAGTTGTGTCATACCTTTTTGAAATTGTTAGAACCATACCATTCAGGGAAAGTTAGTGAAAAAAATCATAAAACTAATCTTTAAAAAATATTTGGGTTTATACAAAACGGTTCCCGAACTTTGACGCCCCTCTGGTTGATCATGAGACCAACCCGAGGATGGAAAACAACTGTTTTATATTTTGTTAAACAATATAACTAGTTATTAGTTGCCCCTTCTAGATGGTCTAAAAAACAACCCGAGGGGCTTCAAAGTTCATCACCTATTTTGACCCGTGTGTATATAATCATTATTAAACGTTATAAATAAGTTTATAAAGAACGAATAATATATTTTACTTTAAACAAAATATCAAAAATCACTTTATCAATCTAGTCAAATATGTTTTCATTGAAAAAATAAAATAAAAAAGCATACAAATATTGTACAGTAGTTTTATACTGAGCAATAGTTTTATACTGAACAATGCAAAACAGACGACAACTCATCATTTATTTAAAACAGACGACAACTCATCATTTATTTAAAACAGACGACAACTCATCATTAACACATGAGTAATGAAACTTCTTAATTCTGCATAAATTGAAGTATAATAAACAACGCTTGTAAGTAATGTTAAATGGAATTTAATAAGGAACCTATATGCTGTAATAGTCAGCATTTATATTTGTATTATATTATGTTATATTTGTATAGTGTTTGAAACATTTTTTAAAGAATTATTATATGGTATATAAATCTTTATATTTTAGGTATAATAAAAAGTGTGTTTTCTCTGTGTTCTTAAATTGTTTTATTTTTCTAGATAGAATGAGTTTATTTAAACCGACCTGTACTCATGAGGAAAACAGGAGAAAAGTGTGTTTATATTGTGCCAAAAAAACAAATAAACTTAACGATATTAATGTACCGTGGATTAAAAATTTAGTGAATTTTAAATACAACATTAAAAATTCATTATATCCTAAAGCTATTTGCGAATCTTGCAAAAGCAGTATAAGAAGAGGAAAAGAGCTTTACACGTAAAGTAGAATAAAATGAAATTACCCATTTAAACTAGAATTGTTTTTGTATGTAAATGCAAAATATGTATAATTGGATCTACCCAAGGAAGACTTAAAAAATTCAAAAAGGGACGTATATGCAACGCGCAACCTCCAGTTATTAGTCTAACTTGTCAAACTTGCTTTTCAATTATTAGCAAAGGAATTACCCACAAATGCTCTTTAGCTGTACTTAAATGTAATGTAATGCAAAAGCTTGCAAATAATGTCAAGACAATTGAACAAATAGCTAATTCTTTAATAAAAGACAAAATAGACAAAAAGGGTAAAGCAATACTTGCTACTGGTGGTAAAAAAGTAAGTTTTACACTTACTTTTTTACCACCAGTAAAAACCTTACCAAGAGAAACCATGATACTAGTAATATACAACAACTGTCTATAAACAGTAAGATTGACATACAATCAACTTTAGAATTAAGTAACACAAAAATTTTAAAGCCAGCAAAAGAATAACGATTCAAAACACAAAATAGAAAAATTGTACAATCAGGGTTAGCAGCAGAGCTCAAACGTATTGACCAGCAACTTGATGACTGTTTTGTTGAGGATTTTGAACTTTTTAATATTAAATCTGTAGAGGAAAAAAGTTTGTTTAAACTCCATTTATCAGAACAACAGATGTCAATGAGTTTCTGTGGCAAATAATAGATAAAAAAGGAGCCTATCCTCAAAACCAGTATATAAAAATTTCCATTGACGGAGGTCAGGGATTTCTTAAGGTAATTTGATTTTATAATGTGCCACTTTTTTTTTATAATTAAAAATAATAAAAAGTGTAATTTATTATAAAATATTCAGGTTTGCTTAAAATTTGTATCAAATCCTAGTGAAACAATTAAAAACAAAAAGAGAAAATATGGAGAAATTAAATCACCAAATTTCAAGGAAGGATCTGTGAAAGCATCATTTATTATAGCACTGGTACCAGATGTACCAGAGACAAACCATAATGTTAAAATTCTGCTTAACAAACTCTGTTTGGATAAAATAAACTTTACTTGCGTGGCAGATATCAAACTCTGTCAAGTCATGTGTGGTATGTCTCCGAGTTCCATGGCAACTCATCCGTGGTATATTTGTACATGGAACAGAACAGAGGTTTTTAAAAATGATTGCACTGAGTTACGAACACTTGGGTCACTAAGAATAAGCAGTAAATTGTATAAATTGAGCTGATCAAAGAAAATTAGAGCAAAAGAATATTTTAACTGTATTAATGAAGTTCTTTTAATTGTTGATGATAATGATCTAGTTGTTAATCATCTTTCTCCTCCAGAACTTCATTTGATGGAAGGGGCAACAAACCATATCTTTAAAACAATAAACAAATTAGCTGATCCAGTACTATTAAAAAAGATCGAAAATGACTTAAATAGTTCTAAATCAATGAGAAATGGGTCATATAATGGTAATGGTTGTCAAAAAATATTAAAAAATTGGGTGAAGTACTATAACTTGTTTCCAGTCCTATTAAAACCATTAGCTGAAGCATTCAGGCTTCTGGAAAACCTTGTTCACTCTTGTTTTGGTGTAAATTTAAGGCCAACATTAGAAAAAGACATCCGGTTATTTAAGAATCATTATTCAACCTTAGTGGAAGATTATGAAAAGACAGTTACTGTGAAGTTACACATTATATTTCAACATGTAGGTCCTTTGGGAACGTTTTAAAGTGTCTGATAACCATCAAAAGTATGCAAAGTATTTGAAAAAAGCAGTAGTTTCAATGGAAAACATTTAAATAATGCTTAATAAATATTTTCTAAAAATAATGTTTTTTTTTCCCTTTTAATTTTAAGAAGGAAAAAGTACTCGGTATTTGCGCCCCTCAGACTGCTTTTAAGACCCATCTGAGGGGGACATATAACGACTAGTCATATTTTCTGACAAAATGTACAACAATTGCATGCACCCCTGTGGTGGGTCTTGATATCAGTTAGAGGGGCGCCTAAGTCAAGGACCCCTGTATAAACCCAAATATTTTTTAAAGATTAGTTTTATGATTTTTTTCACTAACTTTCCCTGAATGGTATGGTTTCTAACAATTTCAAAAAGGTATTACACAACCCTATGTCATTTCATCAAACTAAAATCTGGTTCAGCGTGGGTGTGTCTGGTACTCAAATAAACTGAAATTTTATTAAAATTCAAATAAATAAAAATTTTTTTGTAATTTAATATAAAACTAAAAAAAAAAAAAATATATCAAAACACTTGATATTCATATTTATTTATTTTTAATAAATAACCCTGAGATTTTTTTTGCATTGAATTTAAAAAAAATTATAGTTGAAATGATTATAGAAATTTTTATAAAATTATGTTTCATTTGTATATATACTATAACATTTACATACTTTATATGGATACACTTATAATATAAAAATAGAATAAAGCTTTAAATCATGCTTACATATTATTGGAGTAGAAAATTTTTCTGGAAACTGTGCTATAAGGTTATTCTTGATACTTTTACAATTAACTCCTTTCGCTCCTATAAAAACATAAATTAAACAAAGAATATGTGTATATTTAATTTATTTCCACATAGCAGAATAAAATAGGCAAACAGGAACATTTTTTACTTTTTTGGACAACTCCAAATAAAAACAAAGTTGCAGATAAAAAGGAAACATCCAGAAAAAGATAATCCCTGAGTCTAAATCTTGCTAATTTCTATAAACTATGTAACTATATTCTAGGAGCCTTGGGAAGTTTTAGAGCTTTTTAAAAACATCCAGAACAGTCCAGAAAATTCTAAAAAGTTCCATAAGGTTAAAAAAAATTCTAGGCTTCAGAAAGTTATGTTATTGCTTGCAAATACTACTTATTCACCATTTTAAAAATTTTGTGTTTTAAAATTTTGGTTTTTAAATTAATCAGAATAAAACAAATTTTCATTACTTTTGAGCAAAGGTTTATTAATTTATGATACAGGAAATTATTTTACAAAAAGTTAAATATATATATATATATATATATATATATATATATTTATATTTTTAACTTTTTGTTAAAATATATATATATATATATATATATATATATATATATATATATATATATATATATATATATATATATATATATATATATATATATATATATATATATATATATATATATATATATATATATATATATATATATAGATATATATAAAGTTAAAATATATATATATATATATATATATATATATATATATATATATATATATATATATATATATATATATATATATATATATATATATATCAATTTGAATTAGAAAAATTAATTCAGATTGCATAAAAATTTAAAAAGTAATAAAACAATTAAAAAAAGCAAACAAACATGACAAACGATTTAAATCTCCTTAATTCTAAAGAGCAAACTATTTTAATCAAGTGTTTTAACAACAATTGAAAAAAACTAAAACAATCGAAAATGGTGTTTTAACTAAAATAGAAAGAACAGATTTAAACATTAACAACAAACGATAAACAAGTCTCTTAAAGTCCATCAATAAATGAACATCTTACAAATGTTCATTTATTGCTCAATTTCATAAATGAACATCTAAACATTATAAGGGATAAACATCTAACAAGAGATAAACAAGTTTCTTACAAATAATATCAAAGCATCTGACATGCAATAAATGAGCATCTAACAAAAAACATATTTGCAATTTTACAACCAAATAAGCATCTTGCATAGGACCAAACATGGAACAATTAAAAATTCTTTAAATTATAATTGTGATTTTATATAAAAAGTTTTGTATAAAATCAGTTTCTTAAGAGAGATAAAGAAGTGTTACAAAGATTTTTTTTTTTCAAATTTCAAATTTCAATTCTTTTACATGAAAAAAATGTATGATTAAAGCCAAATTTTTTTTTTCCTTGTTTTTCATTTGATATAACTTTTTGTAACATTGAAGCTGTTCGCAAATAATCACTAAAAATATAGACTTTAAACATTATTAAAGTATAAATGACCCTATATATTCTAACAAATCAGACATTTTATGTAAAACAAATATATTTGAAAGTAAATAACAAGAAAAGGTGAGAAGAAACCTAAAAATGTAACGTGGAATGACTTCTGATAACATGTTATACTTTAACGGTATTCTTGGATTAGCTTTTTTATTTATTCATAATTACTAACAAAGGCTTCATTTATTTATAAAAGTAATTTTTAATTTAATTTAATAACCAAATTTAGGGGACAAAGCACTGATCAAATAGATTGGAGATAATGTTCAACTAAGTTTACTTCTTAAATATTTTTTTTGTATTTTTCTCCTTGATTTTTTAGAGTAACATCTGCGTTACAAAAACCAACTCCATTTTTATCATTGATCTTTCTAAAAGGTGAAAAAGGAATAGAAGATAAAAGTACACACAAGGTAAATGGTAAGAAGAAGCCAAAATATAAAAGTAGATTAAAAGGTTAAAAGAGAAGAAGCAATAGACATCTAGCAATCCAATACAATGTGCTTTTTATTTTATTTATAAATTTATTTATTATTAAAACTAGTTTATTTATTTTGTTTCTCAACTTACTTATTATTACAATAAGTTTATTTATTTTATTTCTCAACTTATTTATTTATTATTACAATTAGTTTTATTATTTTATTTTTTATTTTACAATAGCTTTTTTTAAAAATTTTTAGGATTTATCACCAAGGTAATAAAACTATTTATTATCTTGTTTGGCACAATAATGAAATTATGGGAATTTTATTTACACCAACTCTCAACATTGTTAACAAGATTAAAAGTTAGCAATGTCTAAAATTAAAACCATAGCTCAAGTAAAAATATAAGTATCAAATAAATTAAACTTAATTTATTTGAATAAGAAAACTTACCAATCAAAACTATTACTTTTCTGCTAAATGATTCTTTAAAAGCAACCTCTTCATATGTTGTTAAATCCAACTTATCATATACTAAATAACAAATGCTTTTAAAAAACAATCTTAAAAACCAAAACTTTTTACTCAAAAAACAAAAAAAACAAAAATCTTGCTTGTGTGAAGGCTAACTCTGTAAGCCATCTGTTTTTGTTTTGGCTTCTTTTTGCTGGAAGGCAAAGATAACTCTAAATTAAAGGAAAAACTACTAAAACTATCAACAAAACTTAGATCGTTAAAGAAAACCTAATAATGAGTTTGTAAGCACAAACACAAATATTTTTACAAATATATATTATTTTCACAAATATTTTTATAAGATTATAAAGATTATATTAGATTAGTTTTGTTTGTTTTTCTGATTGCTTGTTTGGGATTTACAAGACAGTTATAAGAGGTTTAAACTGTTTTTGTTTGTTTTATATAAATACAATAGAATCACAAAAGGGTAGTTCTTAAAGATTTAAACAATGTTTGAATATTGTAATTTAATGTTTGTAATACTGAAATTACATTTTATTGATATATATATATATATGTGTGTGTGTGTGTGTGTGTGTGTGTGTGTGTGTGTGTGTGTGTGTGTGTGTGTGTGTGTGTGTGTGTGTGTGTGTGTGTGTGTGTGTGTGTGTGTGTGTGTGTGTGTGTATATATATATATATATATATATATATATATATATATATATATATATATATATATATATATATGCATAAATACATACATATATATACATATATATGATATATATGTATATATATATATAAATATATAAATATGATATATATATACATATATTTGACATATATATATATATTGAAATATATATATGATATATATATATATATATATATATAT